CTGGAATTTCACTCAACCTGTTTGATGCCCAATAAGCTCCTCTCCGTGGGTAATCGGTGTTGTGGGAACTACCTGGCTCTCAGCAGGCACGTGAGGGGGGGCCCAGGGCAGTTAAGTGGGGCTGTAAGACACACATTCATTCATCCTAAGGTTTGGGGGGCTTTTTTGGCAGTGCTGGGATGGAAGCCAGAACCTCGCACACACTAGGCAAGTGCTGTACCTCGGAGCTAGATCCCCAGCCCTTACAAGTACTTATTGAACTCCTACTGTGTGTTAGGCACTGAGGTTGGCTCCAAAGGATACGATGGTGAGCACAACGAAAATCCTGCTTTTGGGGCAAGGCCTTCTAGTGGAGGCAGAACAGGCCACAGACAAGTTAATGAGAACATAGAGGAGATCATTTCAGGTCTTGCTTAAGTGCTATGAATAAAATATGAAGGAGTGGCATCATAGAGAGTAGCTATGGGCTGGGGGTGTGCTCCAAGAAGGTGGCTTTTTCCATGGCAGTGGGATGGAACCCAGGGGTGCTCTATCCCTCAGCCACACCTGCACATCCTTTTTGTTTTTTGATTTTGAGATGGAGTCTACATTAAGTTGCTAAGGTTGGCCTTGAACTTGTGATTCTCCTTCCTCAGCCTGGGATCAGGCGTGTGCGGTGGCAGGTGAAGAAGGTGGCTTTTGGAGTTGAGACCTGAACAAGAAGGAGTCAACCCCGCAGAGATCAGGCAAAGCTCAGGCACAGGCAGGGCGAAGCCTCGGGGCTGCGCGGATCCAGGAACAGTGTGCTTGGGCAGAAGATGGAGTCAGAGGGGTGATTCTGCAGGAGTCTGTGGGTCCGGGTAGGGGGTTTTGTTGTGTGTGCTTTTTTCCCCCTGTAAGGTGGGATCCTGTTGTAAGATCTGAGGCAGAGGAGCAATGTCATCTGGTTTACATTTTAAAATAGAGACACAAAGTTAAATAACAGCCTGATGCTGGAGGACAGCAGTTCTGTCAGGGCAGCATGTAATTAAGTTCGCAGGCCTGAGCCGACTGGACCATAGAGGCTGGTCCAGCAGGCTAGGGCAAGCCAGGAAGGCTGCCTGGGGGAGGTGCTGCGAGTAAGCAAGCCTCAGCAGACACAGAGGACAGGGGTGCTCCTGGGCAGAGGACGGAAGGCCTTTGAACAGTAGGAAGGACAGCAGTGGCTGGGGTCTAGCTCCGGGGTGGAATGCTTGCCCAGCTCATGCGAGGCTCCGCCAGCGATCCCAGCTTCCCTAAGTGGCAGAACAAAGTGTCAGCGGGTCACGTGTGGGCACACGCACTCTGGATTCCTAGAAGCACTCGCAGAGACAGGAATTCTGCCCGTTTTTCAGGTGAGGAAACTGAGGCCCCATGAAGTGAAGTGACTTACCCACGGCCGCGTGGCTGGTAAGTGGCAGGGGTGGGATTTGAATCCAGACCAGGATGCCTCTAATGGCCCCGTTTCCCTCTCCACCAGTGCTCCCCTTGCATAGGACACCAGGCTGGCCGACCCCAGGGCCGTGGTGTGGTCAGAAAGAGTAAGGAGGTTGGGAAGAGTGTGTGACACTTGGGAAGTGGGGATCCTGGAAATTGGAAATTTGGGTCATGGTGACTGACTGAAGGACAGTATTGATGGAAATTGTTTAATAATCATCAATATTTATAGACCTTTATTATGTGCCAAGAACTGTTCCAAGCACATGCATAGTTTCCTTGTAGCTCAGAGAGGTTAAGCTACTTGCCCCAAATCACACAGCTAGTGAGAGGGGAAGCCAGGTGCCAGACACATGTTCTCAGCATCCTATCTTCCAGCGGATGGATCGGGGGTAGTGACGATGACAACTGGTGAAGGGTGGGTTTTTTCCTTTTTTCTCCATTCCTTTCCTTTTTCCTTCCTTTCTTTCTCATCATTAAGTTTGCGGAAATAACTTGAGGGCGCAGTACTGTTTTATTTATTGAGATTTTTTTTTTGGTCAAATATTTAGTGAGTGTCTACTGTGTGCTGGACTCTGTGATGGCTGTTGTGGTAGAGAAATGAGGGAGCAATAAAAGACTGGTATCCAGAGTATATGAAGAGTTCCCCCGGGCTGGGGCTGGGGCTCAGGGGTAGAGCGCTCGCCTCGCACGTGCGAGGCCCTGGGTTCGATCCTCAGCACCACATAAAGATAAGTGAAATAAAGGTGTCGTGTCCAACTACAACTAAACAATAAATATTTAAAAAAGAGTTCCCCCAAATCACTAAGAACAAAAGTAGGCCACACAGTTTAAACAGACTTTGCATTAAAGGGGAGGGGGCCAAGGCTTCAGCAGGCAGTTCACCAAGGCCAGTCCGGAGGCCCAGTAAGTGTCTGAGAAGGTGTGTGCGCCCCTGGTCGTCAGGGGAGTGCAAAACACATCCACAGGGAGGCTGAGGGAGATGCGCCAGGCAAACTGCGAGCAAGGGGCCAGGGGACCACTTTTGCTAGGGAGACAAGACCCTCTTGGGGACAGCCCGCAGCCCTTCAGTGCCACAGAGCCAGGCCCAGGGACTGTTGAACCAGGGAGCTTGGGGTCACTCATTCCTCTGACAGGTGTTTCCTGAGTACCCGCTCTGAACCAGACTCTGCTCTGGGCACTGAGTGTAGAGGGGACAATACAGCTGGCGTCCCCGCCCTTCCAGAAGACAGACAGTGACAGGGTCAGTGGACAAAATGCGTATTGTGCCTGAAAGAGGGAGTGAGTCACAGCAGAGGGAGCGGCCAGTGGGGAGCCCGAGGCTGGACTGTGTTGGGGGGGGGTGACAAGTCTGTGGGCCACGGGGACGGGGACAGGGATGAGGATGGTAGCTTTTATTCTGAGTGAGATCGGAGGCCTGGGAAGGGTGGCAGAGGATGGGTGTGAGGTGACTTCTGTTTCACAGGTCATTTGGCTGCTGTCTTGACAAGACTCTGCGGGGCAAGGGCAGACCAGAGGCCCCAGGAGGCAGCCTGTGGTGTGGGTGAGTGAGGGTGCGGCCAGGGGCTCGGGAAGCACCTGAGCAAGGGTGGACAGGGAGTAGCACCAGCCGGGCTCCGAGAGCCCTTCCCAGGGCAGCAGGCGGGCACCTACCCATGAGGTGGGTAGGACGTTCCCCTTGAGGATCACGTAGCGGAGGCCCAGGGAGGTGGAATCGCTCGGGGAACAGATTCATGGTTGTGAACTTGGGTTTGGGAGTCAGACTGCAGGTGCCTCTTGGCTCTTCGACTTTGGACATGGGACTTAAAAGTAAAATCTAGCTGGGTGCGGTGGCACTGGCCTATAATCCCAGTGACCTGGGAGGCTGAGGCAGGAGGATTGCAAGTTCAAGGTCAGCCTGGCAATTTAGCAAGATCCTGTCTCAAAATCAAAATTAAAAGCGCTGGGGCTATAGCTCAGCAGTAGAGCGCTTGCCTCGTACATGTGAGGCACTCGGTTCGATCCTCAGCACCACATCAAAATCAGTCAATAAAATAAAGGCATCGTGTTTATCTACAATTAAAAAAAATCTTAAAAAAATAAAAACTAGATATGGGGTTAGAAATGATGGTGGAATGTGTTGGACATTACTATCCAGAGTACATGTGTGAAGACGTGAATTGGTGTGAATATACTTGTATACAACCAGAGAAATGAAAAATGGTGCTCTGTGTGCGTAATAAGAATTGTAATGCATCCCACTGTCATATATAAATTAAAAAATTAATTTAAAAAAAGTTTAAAACTAGAATAGAAAGGGCTGGGATGCAGCTCAGTGGTAGAGCGGCCCCTGGATTCAGTCCCCAGAACCACAAAACAAACAAACAAAAAAGTGAAACCTGAGCCCTGCCCCAAATGACCAGGCGCGGCTGCTCGGGGTCACCTCTTCTCCTCTCACCTCCTCCCATTTACTCTGTGGCTCAGACCCCTCCCATCTCCTGTGGAATAAGAGCCAACATGCTCCCTGAGGTCCAGAGGCCCTGTGTGCTGTGTGCCCTGTCACCTCTCTGCCCTCCCCTCCCCCACGCTGAGCCACACAGGCCTCCTCCCCATTCCCCAAACAGGCCAAGCATGTCCCCACCTCTGGGCCTTCGCACCAGTTCCTGAACATTCTTGCCCCAGATCTTCGCAGGGGGCTTCCTCCTGTCCCTCACGTTCACCTTCACTTGCTCAGAGGCCCTCCTTGACCTTGTGCGCAGAATTAGTCTTGATTTATTGTCTTCATAGCACTATTAGGGCCTCACTAAGTGCTGAGATTTGGACTCAAATTTGCGACCCAATCCTTGTGCCTCAGTCTCCCGTGTCACTGGGATTACAGACATGTCCATGCCCGGCATGCAGTCATGTCCACTTAACAGTGAGGATACTTCCTGAGACCCTCATCATTAGGCAAGTCTGTCATTGTGCAATTAGCATATTAGAACTGACAGTAGGGGTTCCCACACCGGCTGGCTCTAGACCGTGTTTTCTGAGGAGTATGGTCAGAGCCCCAGCTAGCTTAAGTAGCTCCCGTATGTGAATGGGAAAAAGACCCGCCTTCCTCCTGGCGGACACTGCCGCACCAGGTATGTAGTTTGGCAGACAGAATGCACACTGAAACTCAGTCCTGCCTGATATCTTGGTTTAGTACTTTTGCACAATAGACAACCTGTAGAACTGCCCTGGTGTTCCTGCCCTGGTCTTATTAAAATGGTACGTGGAATGTACTAAGTACCCTCCTCCAAATGTTTCCTTAGGGAGGGAGAAAGAGAGAAATAAAGAATAAAGAAGAATATAGTCATATTCACTCAACAGTGAGGATACTTCCTGAGACACACATCATTAGGCAATTCTGTCATTGTGCAAACATCGGTTTCACTTACACAGACTATGATGCCCCTAGGTGATATAATCTTGAGGGACCACTATTGTATATGTGGCTCTTTGTCCACTGAAATGTCATGCATCACATGACCATAAGTCCATCGGGACAGGTTTTGCTGCTGTAACAAACATCCCCCAAATATTAATGGTTGGACCAACCAAGGTTTAGGTTTTGTTCTTGCTGTGCATCCACTGGAGCTCAGCAAGAGGTTGTATTTATTGTAGTCTCCCAGAGCCTGGCCTGACGGAGTTGCCAGCATATCAGATGTGGCCGATCACCCTGCCCGAGGCTGATGACCCCATGAATTAAATGCTCCAGCTCAGAATGTCACATATTGCTTCCTCTTATAACTCATTGGCCAGAGGTAGTCCTGTGCCTGTCCCATCCCAGGAGGATCAGTAAGTGCCATCTGCCTGTGTGCTTTGATGGGGGAGACCCCAACTTTTTGCACACCTCGTTGATGACTGTGACTGATAGGAAGATGAAGGAAAGCCTCGTTGTTTCCAGCCTCCGTGCTTCTCATCTGTTAAATGGACGTGATTATCACATGATGTGGTCTCTGCGTTCTAGTGTGGGGTGAGGACTGAGGTCGCAGGCAGTTGTACAGAGTCGTGGTAGATACTAGCTGGGGTTACTTCTGTACAGTTCAACACCAAGCTGAGAATTCCGACCAAGACTCATCTGTGTTCTGAAGAGTCGCTCCGCCGTGTCCATGGGTTCTATGTCCACCGATTCCACCAATAGTGGATGGAAAATACCTGGGGAAAAAGTTGGCATCTGAACTTAACAACTGGACACAGACTCTAACTTATTATTCCCTAAACAATATAATGCAACAATCTGCCAGGTGCGGTGTCACACACCTGTCATCCCAGTGGCTCAGGAGGCTGAGGCAGGAGGATCGAGAGTTCAAGGCCAGCCTCTGCAATTTATTGAGGCACTGAGCAACTCAGTTAGACCCTGTCTCTAAATAAAATACAAAATAGGACTGGGGATTGGCTCAGTGGTAGAGTGCCCCTGAATTCAATCCCTGGTACCAAAAACATGTATATATAATGTAACAACTTTTTTTTTTGGAACCAGGGATTGAACCCAGGAGTGCTTGACCACTGAGCCACAGCCTCACCTTTTTTTATTTCCTCTTGTTAAGTTGCTTAGGGCCTCACTAAATTGCTGAGGCTGGCCTTGAACTTTCAATCCTTATGCTTCAGCCTCCTGAGCTGCTGGAATTACAGGTGTGTGTCACCACACCCAGCTGTAACAATGATTTTTATAGCATTGGTATGTGTAAGGTATTTTAAGTCATCTACAGTTGATTGAAAGTCTCTGGAAACGCTGGGGTGTCGCTCAGCAGTAGAACAGGCACCTGGCAGGCACAGCGGGCCCTGTGTCCCATCCCCAGCACCACAAAAAATAAAAATAAATAGTTAGAAATAAGATACATGGAAGGATGTGCGTAGGGCCTGTGCAAATACAACTCCTATTTATATCTGAGACTTGAGCATCCAAAGGGCAAGTGCACATCATTGTCACTTGTCGGATGGTACTCGTGGGGGGGGGCGGGGCACCCGAGTCCTGCCGGCCCCTGAGCCCTGCCTCCCGTCTGCAGATCTCCTGGGTGTACCCCCACTTATTCCTGCTCATGCCGCTGGGACTGGGGCGGCGGAAAAAGGCACCACCCCTGGTGGAAAATGAGGAGGCTGAGCCCAGCCGTGGCGGCCTGGGCGTGGGGGAGCCGGGGCCCCTGGGCGGAGGTGGGGCAGGGGGGCCCCAAATGGGCTTGCCCCCCCCACCCCCAGCCCTGCGGCCTCGCCTCGTGTTCCACACCCAGCTGGCCCACGGCAGTCCCACGGGCCGCATCGAGGGCTTCACCAACGTCAAAGAGCTGTATGGCAAGATCGCGGAGGCCTTCCGGCTGCCAGCTGCAGAGGTACCTGTGGAGGGCCGAGCAGGGCGCCAGGGTCCCTAGCGGTGGGCCATAGGCTTGGCTGTGCATTCTGCTCCTGAGCCGGGGCTCAGGTGCCACCGCTGTGGGTGCAGAGGTGGTGCCCCGCTCGATGGTGGGGAGCCGGGGTCACTGGTGGAAGCCACGCTCCTGTCAGGCCTTTCCAGGTCTGTGTCCCGGGAGACTGTGTGGGCTGGAGGCCTGACCCCGGGGCTGTGGGGGCAGAAGAGAGGCAGGCAAGGAGACAGCGGTGGGCTGGGCAGTAAGTGGCCACAGGCAGGGCGGAGGGGGTCTGCCCCTTCATTCACTCCCAGGCACTCACTGAGTCTCACCCTGTGCCCGGCTCCAGTCCCTGGCAGCAGGAGGGAGTTTCTGTAAGGAGAGAAGTTCTAGAGCTCAGAGGGCGCCCAGGCCCTGGGGTGGAGACCCCTAGCCCTTTGCCAACCCCGCCCTCCCCCCCAGGTGTTAGCAAAGGGGCCGGGGGAGGGAAGCCAGGACGAGCATCTCCCACCCTGCAGGTGATGTTCTGCACCCTCAACACCCACAAGGTGGACATGGACAAGCTCCTGGGGGGCCAGATCGGGCTGGAGGACTTCATCTTTGCTCACGTCAAGGGGCAGCGCAAGGAGGTGGAAGTGTTCAAGTCGGAGGACGCTCTGGGGCTCACCATCACAGACAACGGCGCTGGCTATGCCTTCATCAAGGTGCCTGGGTGGTCGGGGCACCAAGTCCTGGGCCCAGGGCAGGCCACGGGTCCCAGGTAGAACCACCAGGGCTGATGACCCCTCTTCTTCCCAGCGCATCAAGGAGGGCAGCGTGATCGACCACATGCAGCTCATCAGTGTGGGCGACATGATCGAGGCCATTAATGGGCAGAGCCTGCTGGGCTGCCGGCACTACGAGGTGGCCCGGCTACTCAAGGAGCTCCCCCGAGGCCGCACCTTCACTCTGAAGCTCACAGAGCCTCGCAAGGCCTTTGGTGAGGGGCTGCCTCCTGCACCCCGCCCACCATGACCCTGCTCTTGGCCCCATCCGCCTGCAGTGCCTGGAGCCACCAGCAGATGGCGGCCGTGCCTGGCTGGCTGCAGGGGAAGGCGGGAAGCTCCGCCCCGCCCCAGGAGGGCGCGCTGGCTCCCCGCCCAGCCTGGGAGCGGGGGCGGGGGGGGGTAGGAGGAAGTTGCCCCCACACCCCGCTTCCAGGAACCATTAGCCCAGCCAAGCGCCCCCAGCCCTGAGAAGCCAGGCTTGGCTGCCCTGTGCCCGCACCCCCACTTTTCCATTTGGCTTCACTAACTCCCAGGAATGGGCCCCAGGCCCCTGTGGTGGGGGTGGAGGACTCTAAAGCCTTTCCCTGGGCAGACGGGGCCGGTCTGTGGCCGGCAGCTATGGCCCCCACCCCCAGGCCGTGGGGACAGTACTCAGAGGCCAGTTCCCATCCCCTCTCTATTCCTCGAGGAGGAGAAGTGGCCTCCTCTGGTCTCCTCTCGCTTTCTCCAGGCCTGGGCTCCGGCCCCCGACCTCGGGGGCCTGGAGAAGGTGGGGAAGGGGTTCGCTGAGGCCCGAAGGCTGGTCTCTGGCCAGGGCCTGCTGAATTCCATCTCCCCTCCTCCCCCTCTCCTCCTCCCTGCCTCCCACAGACATGATCAGCCAGCGTTCAGGCCGCCCCGGCTCCGGCCCACAGCTGGGCACCGGTCGAGGGACCCTCCGGCTCCGATCCCGGGGCCCTGCCACAGTGGAGGATCTGGTGAGTGATCTACCCAGCTCCAGCCCTCGCCCTTCGTGTCGTGGTTGGTGAGGGGACTCTGGGCAGCCTGCCTGGATTCACATCCACTCCCGCCCCCCATGAACTCCGGGAACTCACACAAGTGGGCCTCGGTTTCCCCACTGTGAAATGGGAGTCATAATAGCAAATGTCATGGATGGAAAGATATGTGAAGCCCTGAAAAGGGCACTTAATAAAGGCACTAAATAAGTACCGTGACAGTTCTGTTCCTATTATGATGACGTCCCTGTCCCTGCTCCCCCCCCCAGCCCTCAGCCTTCGAGGAGAAGGCCATTGAAAAGGTGGATGACTTGCTGGAGAGTTACATGGGAATCAGAGACACGGAGCTGGGTAAGCTGCTGGGTAGGGAGGGTCCTGGCCTGGGAGGGTCTTGGGGAGGGGGCTTCTCAAACCATCTGTGCCTCTACCTCATCTCCTCCCCCACACAGCTGCCACCATGGTTGAGCTGGGGAAGGACAAAAGGAACCCAGACGAGCTGGCAGAGGCCCTGGATGAACGACTTGGTGACTTTGCCTTCCCGGATGAGTTCGTCTTTGACGTGTGGGGTGCCATTGGGGACGCTAAGGTTGGCCGCTACTAGAACTCCACTGGACCTCATAATGATGACCTGGGCCCAGCCTGGTGGGGATCCCCAGAAGGACACCAGGGCCTGGGCCCGAGTTCCCAGCCTGGGGCAGTAGCTCAGCAACCCGAGGACAATGCGGAGCAGAGGTGGGGCCTGCCCCGGCCCCAAGCCAATCGGTACCACCACCCTCCCTGCTTCCCAGCCTGGCTGGGGTCCCCAGCCTCCCTGTCCGGTTCCCCATCTACCTCAGCCGGGCCAGGTGCGTGGGAGGGATGGCCCAATTGGGCAGCTGCCCCTGCCCCCAGCAGTCCCCACCATGGCTGCCAGACTGGTCCCAGGGTCTCTGGGGCCTCAGGTCCTCTCTGGGGGCTGTGACCTCTCCAGTTTCCTGCTGCAGGGAATGCAGAAGGGGGGCACCCCCCACTGCCAGCAAATGCAATAATACCCTCTCCCTCTGAGAGGAGCCCCTCAACCTGGATTCTGTTACCTCCGCATTTGAAGAGTCTGCTGTGAACCCCCACCTCCCCACACCCTCATGGCCAGGCCCCAAACCAGAGCGGGAGGGAGGGACTTTGTATCTGAATTTGCGTCTGGAACATAAAGAATCTATCTGGTATTGGACCTGGTGGCCTCGGGTGGGGGGGAGGTGGGCCTGGCAGGGAAGAGCACAGCAGCTGACATCTATCTTCCCCGGGCTCCAAATTGAATTAGGAGCTGGCCGGGCCGCCGCCCCCTCCCACTGCCCTGACGAGGCTCCTGGCCTCGAGCCACCAGGCTTCCAGGCAGTGCGGAGATTCCTGGCCTACTAGGGGCTCAGCTCCTGGCCCCCGCCCGCATCTCCCAAGCCAGTGTTGGGCCTGGACGCGCAGGGTCCGCAGGCCCATGGCACGTGACCCCTCCCACGGACATAAACCCGTGGCTTGTTTTGACAACCCACTTCATCCCAGAGGATTGAGGGGATCAAGGAAGGGGAGGGCGGGACCCTGGCCAGACCTGGAGAGAAGGGAGAGGGTTGAAGGAGGGGAGCGGGGCCAGAGGTCTCCGCAGGAATGTTTGGGGGTGAGCGGAGGTGCGAAGGGGGTGGGGAAGGAGCCACGGGGCCAGGCTGAGGCACGGCCTTGGGACGTCCCTGGGCACTTGAGGACTCTTGGTGTGGCAGTGCCAGGGGACATCTCCAGGGTGAGGGGTGTGGCTGGTCTTGGGTGTCTGTCCGTGTGATGGCTGGTGACCATGTTGAGCAGGACTGCAGGTGCACAGTATGGGTGGGGGTGTCTGGCCGAGCTGTTGGAGTAGGAGCTGGGGGGTGGCCTCACCGTTTCCAGGGGTGCCCCTCCTTGCGTCTTGGAATGTGCCTGTGGGTCCTCATATTGCTAGGGAGTGTCTTCCCATGGCCTGGAGTGACAGGGACTCTCGCAGAGTCTCAGGTCCTCAATGCTAAGCGGTGTGTTGGAAAGGTCATTTCAGGGGGCTGTGTTTTGAGGTGTCAAGGGAAGTGGCTGGTGTCACAGGGGGTCAGACTTTCCTGTGGCATCTCAACGCCCCCATACATAACCAAAGGGACCTCTGACGCAGCTCCCCTCCAATCCTCTCCCCTCTCTCCAGCTGTGGCCGGGGTCCTGCCCCTCCCTCCCTTCCCCTCAGTCCTCCAGGAGGGTGCTGCAAGGGGGCTGGGTGCTAAGATGACGCCTCTGAGTGGGGCCAGGAGGCAGCAGTGGGTCTCAGGGTGAGGCTGCGTGGTGGGCCCCCAGGGGTGCCCATCTCAGGGCACGAGGTGAGGCCCCAGTCTGTCCAGGGTGCGTCTTCGTGCCTTGGGGGTCCCACATGTGCTCAACTCACCCTAAAGCAGGGTGCAGAGGCTGGCCTCATCTCCAGGCTTCCTGGCTCCCCTGGGCCTTCAGCCTCCTCCCTGTCTCCAAGGGTGTGACTCCCGGCCGCCCTGGCCTGGGCTTAAGCCCCTGTGTAAATAGTGGGCGGGTCCCCTGACCAGGCTGGGCCTGACCCAAGCCAGTCCATCCAAGGCACTGACCACAACCACCCATCTTGATGCCCACAAAGGTTCTGGCAGGTCAGGGAATAGTTGCTGCCCCCCACTACATGTTAGGCCAGCCCCCCAACCCTCAAACCTGGTGGAGACAGCACCACCCCTGCAGCCCGCCCAGCTTGCCCTGGGCGACGCTCATATTTTCCAGTGTTTAGATTTTATCCGCTTTATTAATGAGGCAGGCAAGAGGCCCGAGCCCGGGGGAAAGGGGCTGCTCCCGCCCCACTGGGAGGAGGGGGTCACAGGGGACCAGGCCGACTCTCAGGGAGCCTCCCTCCTCATAGAGGAGGAGCTGGGGCCCCAGTGGTCTCCACCCACTGCCAGGAGGACAGACTGGGGGTCTCTGCCACTCCAGGCCCCCAGCAGGCGTACAAGGGGTGGAGCGGTCCCTGGAGGCCAGCAGGGCTGCGGGTGGAGGCGAGGAGCCGCCCCAGGAAGAGGGAGGGAGCGGCCGCCCAGAGAGCCAGGCGCAGCGGGCGTGGGCAGCCGGGCCTGAGCGGTGGGCCATGGGGACCCAGCGTCCCAGCGCTGGGTAAGAAGGCTGGGTTCAGGGTTGGGTTTGGGGATGAGGATGGGACCTTGGCTACTTTGGTTGATACTGCTGTGTTCCCTGGATCTCAGTCCCTGTGTGTCTGTGCTTGGGTCTTACTCTCTGTCCATCCACCTTTCCCTCTGGCCCAGGGTGAAATCCGGCTTTTTACCTGCCACCACCAGGGTGTGGTGGAGTGGGAGGGGGAGAGGGAGGCAGGATATGGGTCTCCTTGAGGTCTCTGGGACAGGGAGGGGTCGTGGGCAGTGTGGGATTGTGGGCTTCCAGGTGAGGTGGTGGTCAGGGATGGTGCCCGGGTGAGAGCAGTGGAGCCCAGAGACCACCGTGGAGGACCGAGTTGTGGCCATGGGCACAAATATGACCACAGGGCCCAGAGACGAGGTTCTGGGAGATAGTGCCATGGAAGCCAGAGATGGGACTGTGGGGACAAAGACATGACTATAAAGATACAGTGCCATCAAAGCAAAAAATGGGACCAGGCTGAGAGGCACAGAGATGGGGCCTGGGACACAGAAATGGGTCCACAGACGAGAGATGGGGCTGTGGGGGGAGGGTTATGGGGACAGAGACAGTGCCATGGGGGTCAGAGATGGGTCCATGGGGACGGGGATGTCTGTGATAGTGGAGTTGGAGCTGGGGACATCAAGGATGGGACTGAAGTGAAGGTGACATGGTGAAGGTCAGTGCGGGCACCTGCGAGCAGCCTGTCCCTGGGGTCAGAAATTGGTGTTCCAGATGGGGCCCTGGGCCAGGAGTTTGCTGTGCTGCAAAAATGGGAGATGGGGGTCAGAGGTGGATCTCTGGGGTGCAGAAGTGGGGCAGAGACCTGGGGGGCTGGTCTAGGGCAGCCTTAGAGTGGTGGGCTATGGGAAGGAGGCGGCAGAGTGGAAGGAGGAGCAAGAGATGGGCTAGTGAGGGGCGCAGGCATCGGAACAGCTAGGGTCATCTGGAGTTGCCACAGGCAAAAGGGCCTTGGGGTCAGATGGGTTCTGGTGAGATGGGACAGTCAATCCGCGGTCTCCCGCAGTGTCCCTCCAGCCTCACTTGCCTTCATCTCCTCTACCCAGCCCTCCAGGCGCCTGACATGAGTCTTTGCGGGCCCCTTAACTGGAGCCTGGCTGGCGAGGCTACCACGTGCTCGGCGCCCGGGATCCCCAACGTGTCGGCGGTGCCGCCCTTGGGTGGTACGGGCGGATCACCAGCGCTGCCCATCTTCTCCATGACGCTGGGTGCAGTGTCCAACGTGCTGGCACTGGCGCTGCTGGCTCAGGCCGCAGGCCGCCTGCGGCGCCGCCGCTCGGCCGCCACCTTCCTGTTGTTCGTCGCTAGTCTGCTGGCCATCGACCTGGCGGGCCACGTGATCCCGGGCGCACTAGTGCTGCGCCTGTATGCTGCGGGGCGCGCACCGGCCGGTGGGGCCTGCCACTTCCTGGGTGGTTGCATGGTCTTCTTCGGCCTGTGCCCGCTCCTGCTGGGCTGCGGCATGGCAGTGGAGCGCTGTGTGGGTGTCACCTGGCCTCTGCTCCATGCCGCGCGCGTCTCAGTGGCCCGCGCGCGCTTTGCGCTCGCCGCATTGGCCGCTGTGGCCTTGGCGGTGGCGCTGCTCCCGCTAGCACGCGTGGGTCGCTATGAGCTGCAGTACCCTGGCACCTGGTGTTTTATTGGCCTCGGGCCACCCGGCGGCTGGCGCCAGGCACTGCTTGCCGGCCTCTTCGCAGGCCTCGGCCTGGCTGCGCTACTCGCTGCGCTAGTGTGCAACACGCTCAGCGGCCTGGCCCTGCTGCGCGCCCGCTGGCGCCGCCACTCCGGACGTTTTCCCCAGGCCTCCCGCCCAGATAGCCGCCGACGCTGGGGGTCACGAGGCCTCCGCTCGGCCTCCTCCTCGTCTGCCTCATCCATCGCTTCAGCCTCCCCAGCCCTCCGCAGTTCCCGGGGCGGAGGCTCAGCACGCAGAACCCGCGCCCACGACGTGGAGATGGTGGGCCAGCTCGTGGGCATCATGATGGTGTCGTGCATCTGCTGGAGCCCGCTGCTGGTGAGGGGCACAAGAGCCCCTCAAGTCACATGCCTTCCCCGGCCCCGCCCACTCTTCTCTATCCCTGTAGAGACCCTCACCCAGCCAAGGCTCCACCCCTTTAAGACCCCACCTGCCAGGAAGGCGACCCTTTGCCTTCTCGTTGACCTCCGTTCTCCCAGCCCCGTTCTCTTGGTCCTTCCAGGGGTCTGTGTGAGCCGTCCCGACCTACACCGACCCCCAAGCCCCTCTCCCCTAGCCCTCCTCCCTCTTTCGTGGCTTCCCTTTCTCCTGTGTGCTTGGGGAGACTTGGCCCTTGTATCCCTTCTGGCCAACGCCCCCACTTCTGGAGGCCTTTGTTTCTGCACCCCTCCTTCCACAGCTCTTTCCCACATAGATAACCATTTAAGGTCCCCATGACACTCTGCCCCTCCCCTAACCTCCTTCCAGCAATGCCCCACCCACCCCAGCCTCACCCTCCCGCCCCTTCTCTAACCCCCGTCGCACGGCTCACACCGGCTTTCCCCGCAGGTGTTGGTGGTGCTGGCCATCGGGGGCTGGAACTCCAGCTCGCTGCAGCGGCCGCTATTTCTGGCCGTGCGCCTTGCTTCCTGGAACCAGATCCTGGACCCCTGGGTGTACATCCTGCTGCGCCAGGCCGTGCTGCGCCAAGTGCTTCGCCTTCTGCCTTTAAGGGCTGGCGCCAAGGGCGGCCCCGCGGAGTTGGGCCTAACCCGGAGCGCCTGGGAGGCCAGCTCTCTGCGCAGTTCCCGACAGAGTGGTCTCAGCCACTTCTGAGTGCGCCCGAAGGCTAAGCCACCCAAAGTGCTCAGCGCAGCGCCTTTGAGGAACCAGTTTTGTCCCGTCGGGGCTGCAGCACACACTGGGGCCGCGTGGGGGCGGCAGAAGATCCGTGTGCGCCTCTAGACCGGTGCAGCTCCGAGGCTTGCCACGCGAGGGCGCAGACACCCGACGCTCAGTTGTCCAGGTGGGAATCCAGAGCCAAAGCCACAGGAGCATGCGCACAACGCCAGGGCCCCAGCTCCGCAGTGACTAGAGCAAGAGTGTTTGGGAGACACTTTCTATCACTGCAGCAGCCAAGACAGATTCTGTTCATTAGATCCTGAGCTCCTCCCAAACAGCCCCAAGACCTATGCCCAAGCCATGCACTATCATGGCCTCGAACTCCCAAAGCCTCCAACAGGACCTGACCCCCATCCCATCGCGGCTCACCACTCCTCCCACCACAACAGCCCTGAGTCCCACCCTCCCCCGACTCTCTTCAAATGAACCCCCACCGATCTGCCCCATCACCTGGCCCTACCTCCAAGCATGTCCATCCCCCAACCCCCTCTCGGCGCACAAGAAGGGCCAGGATGCAGGGCTGGGGCAGACCCCGAGGCCTTTTTAAAAACTAAGAGCTCGGGGCAGGGGCGGGGGATGGGCTAGCAGCCGCCGGCCACGAAGTCGAAGTCCTGGAAGGCTGCCTGCTCAGTGGCAGTGAGGGGCCGCGCGTCGCGGGGTGGGCTCAGCGTGGGGGCCTCCCCGGTGAACTCCTCGTCGAAGTTGCTGACATCGGTGCGCCCTGAGAGCGTGGGCACGAAGGGTGGGGGCAGGCGCCGGGCCAGCAGGGCTTCCCAGCCCAGTGTCTGGGAAGGCAGGAGAGGGAGGTCAGGATGGGAGGCTCGGGGCAGGCGTGGCTGAGAGAGGCCGGCCCTGGGTTTGTGGGGTCAGCACAAGGTGGAAGAAGAGGGGTGAGGCTGGGGCAGGGGGAACTGGCTCACCCGGGACACGGCCCACCAGGCCAGAAGGAGTGACTGGGCCTCCACGGGGCCGTGTGGGAGGGGAGGGGAGGACACAGCCCGTGGCTCACGGGCCCCTGGGGTGGGAATGGCTACTGGCTCCTGGGGTCTCACCCTGAAGAACGGCTGCTTCTTCACGTCCTCTGCATCTCGCTCACTGGACCCCAACCTCCGCTCTGGATTCCTCCGCAGCAGCTGCGGGTGCAAAGCTGCGTCAGGTCCGTCTCCCGCCGAGGCCCTGACCCAGAGCCCCTGACCCAGAGCCCCTGTCTGGGCCGACCCTGCCCAGGCATCCTCACCCTCCGCATGATGCCGATGGCCTCCGCAGACAGGAAGCGCGGGTAGCGGACCTCATCATTGACGATGCTGTCAAACACCTCCTCCTCATCATCCCCTGGGAATGGCGACTGGGGACAGGGGTGGGGTGAACGAGGCCCCTCTCCGGGATACCACACCCAGTTCCACCCGAACCCTTGCTTTGGCGGTGCGTCCCCACAGGGGCTGGCTTGAAGAGGGGCGAGTATCCCATTTCACAGATTGGGCACTGAGGTCCAGGGGCAAAGCCACCTGCCCTCCTCACCCAGCTGTGGCGGAGGCAGAGTTGCGTCCCAGCCCTGGGCATAGGCACACTCCAGGCCCGGTGGGGGCGCCCTGGGGCCTCACCTCACCGACCAGCATCTCGTAGAGCAGCACGCCCAGCCCCCACCAGTCCACGGCCCGGGTGTAGGACGTGTCTGTCAGCACCTCAGGTGCCAGGAACTCCGGGGTCCCGCAGAAGGTGCTGGTCCGGTCCCCATAGCCCATGCCTGGAGCAGCAGGGCCAGGCGAGCTTAGCGGGTGGCCCAGCACCGCCACCGTGGTCCACACAGCCGGCCGCCCCCTCCCTGTCCGACCCCAGGCTCCGCTGCTCACCCTCTTTGCAGAGGCCAAAGTCTGCGATCTTGACATAGCCCTCAGTGTCCAGGAGCAAATTGTCCAACTTGAGGTCCCTGTGGGGTCAGAGGTACAGAGAGGGACTGGCTGGTTTGGGGGGGCTCTGGCTGTGCCAGGGCCGAGGCGCCCCCGCAGCACACACCTGTAGACGATCTTGTGTTCGTGGAGGAACTGCAGCCCCAGAACCACGCAGGCCGAGTAGAAGCTGTGGAGAGAGTGGGCGGGTCCTGGGAGCCTGGAACCCGCACCCTTGGGCCCCCAGCCCCCAAGAGCTCCCGGAGGCCGGGGAGGCAGGGCCCAGGGGTGGAGGGTGGCGCCCGGGCTGAGAGCCTGGGCAGTGGCTCACACGGCTCGGGGCTCGGAGAACACGTCGCTGTGGATGTGCAGCATGAGGTCGCCGCCCGCGGAGTACTCCATCACGAAGCACACGTGCTCCGGCGTCTGGAAGCAGCCGAAGAGGTTCACCAGGAACGGGTGTCCCGCGCTGGTCACGGCTGCCAAGATCCGCTTCTCACACATCAGGCTGGGAAGGGACAGGGGTGGGGGGCACAGGTCATGGACACCCCCAACCCCCAACTCCCACTCTCCCCGGAGTCCTCAGTCCACCGCAGATACAGATGTGCACTTCGGATAAGTTGCTTACAATCTCTGAACCTCAACAACCTGATCTGCTAAAGAGGCACCCAGAACCCATCTGTCTTCCCAGTAACTGCCCCCATGACCTTCCTTTGGGGAACCGCAGGGCTGGGCACAAGGCCCAGGCCACTGGGGTACTCCAACTCTTTGGCCAGGGATTGGTTCAGGGTTGGGCAAGCCTAATCAAGGGACTTGGATTGAGGTCCCTATGGGGTCAGAGGGTACAGAGAGGGATAGACTAGTTTGGGAGGGGGCTCTGGCTGTGCCCAGTGGCTGAGGCGCCCCCACAGGGACTCTGCTTCCACCACTGGATTGCCAGGGTTTCCACTGGAATTATTAAGGAATGAAGGCTAAAGCTGGGTGAATCTCAAGCTGTTGGAGTACAGAGGTATCTTTGCCCTCTGGAGGGGACTGCAAGCCAAGCCCGCACACAGGAACACAGAACTCAGAAACCTCATCTGAGCACCTGGATACAGCCATGCCTGAAGGCACTCACCCCAGGACTTTTCTGGTCCAGCTCAATAAATTCTTTTGTTTGTTTAAACCTTTCTAAGTTGATTTCCTGATTATTATTATTGGGAAGGCTGGGGACAATCCAAGTGCCTCTGTTGAGTGTTTATAGGGATTAAGCTCTTGTTTAGAGTACTTCAGATGAATCCTCTCATTTACCCTGCAAGAAGGATGTTATCATTCCCCTTTGACAGATCAGGAGACTGCAGTACTGAAGGGAGAACTCAGGTTCTCCAAGCACATCCAGCAGAGCTGAGATTTTAACCTGGGGCCCTGACCCCAAAGCAGAGGCAGTGTAGTAGCACCAGCTTCGGAGCCTGAGGCCCTAGGTTCAAAGCTGGACCTGCTGCTTACTGGCCATGTGACTTTGGACAAATTGCTCAATCTCTGTGTGCCATCAGCAGAAAGGGAACTATAACAGTATTTACTGCTTGAGACAATAACTGCTCTTTAAATTGTCACTATTATCTTAAATATAAGAGTAATAAGTTCCAGTGGCTGTTATAAGTCACTCTCACTACAGCTCCAAAAACAGGATGGCTCTGTCTCTCATTTCCCAGAAGAAAAGACAGAGGTCCCCAGAGGGTCACAGCAGGGTTCTCACCTCTCTACCTCATCTCGAGCCACAATGTCCCCTTTCTTCAAAGCCTTGATGGCAAACAGCTCCCCGCTGGACCGGAATTCAGAAAGCAGCACCTGGAACCACAGGTAGTCTTAGTGGCCAGCCCAAGACCCAGCCGGACAGGACCCCCAGCCCCCAAATCCTTGCCCTGCACTCACCTTCCCAAAGTGACCCCGGCCAAGCACTGCCAGGAACTTGAAGTCCTCGAGGGTCAGAGGTGACTTCCTCAGAGGGCTGTGGAGAGAGGGCACTGGTAGGGACAGGGACGGGGGGCAGGGCTGGGAGTGGGGACTGGAGAGAGGCGTCACCTGCACAGGGCGGGGCCCGGGGTCTCCTGGGTTTCCGGGGGCAGCTCAGGAGTGCTGACAGTTTCCTGGGTGGGGGAACTCTATGGAGGAGAGAGGAGGTCAGGTGGGGGGCCGGATGCCCCTGCCCCAACCTGCGCCATCTGCCCTGGACCCCTCTGTCCTGGCTATTCCCACACCCGCCTTGCGCACACCCCTCCAGCTGCGTGGCGTCCCTGCCCTGCATACACTGGGCACACTGTGTGTGCCTGCCAACTTCTGACCTAGAGCCAGACCCAGGACAATGCCGTCACCTTGGCAGGCTCCCCTGTCACTCTTCTGTGAGTGACCCCTATCTGGAGAATGGCAAGATCCTGACCTCTGTCATTCACAGGAGCTGTGCCGGGCCCAGAGGCGAAGCTACTGGGCGCAAGTCATGCAGCAATGAGGGGGAATGCAAGCAGCCGGGCTCCCCATTCCCTTTTTTTAGGACTGGGGATGGGCCCCAGGCCTTGCAAGTGATCTGCCACTGAGCTACACTCCCAGCCCCTGAACGCAAGGATAGAAAGCCAGGCTCCAGTTCTACTAGAGACACGCTGTGTGAGCCCAGGGAAATTCCTGGCTGTCTCTGATAATGGACCAGGATGCCCAGCGCAGCTCGGGCCTAGTGGGAGAGGGGACAGACGCCTACCAGGCTTGACGGGCTGGAAAGAGGCCCCGGGAGGCTCTTCTGGGGCGAGCTGTCCAAGTCAGCTCCGAGGTTCAGCTTCTCCACGGAGACGTCACTGCTAGAGGGGAGGAGGGTGTGTGGGACCCGGCAGCGGCTGCGGCTACGCAGTGAGAGGCGGCTGGGAGCCCAGGGCGCCTCCTTACCCTGTGGTTCGGGCCTCGGACCCTGGAGAAGGCCCGGGACTGAAGGTGCCGGTGGCGGCGTTGGGAATGAGCCTCCGAAGCAGCCGCACCCACGTGGCGACGTCGATGTTCATCTGCCTGGCACGCTGGAACGCCTTTCCTGAGACAAGACCAGGGGCGTCACTCCCTGGGACATTCCCGGCCGCCTCCCCCGCCCCAGGCCAACCTCACCTTGCTGCTTGGAGAATATCTTCTTCTGCCGCCGGAGCCGCGGGATCCTCTCAATAACGGGGTTGCGGAAGGTGACCTGGGCGGGGGAAGGCGAGGACCCCTGCTCACTGAGGGCAGCCTGGTGAGGACCCTCAGGAGACCAGGTGTGTCCACCCCGTGCTCTGTGGGTTCTGATCACCATGCACTGCGCTCAACCCCAGAGAGCCGGGTGACAGGGCACTGGCCGTCCCCACCTGCCTCCTGCCTGGAAAGAGAAGGAGCAGGCGACCAGGCCCCCGGAGGGGGAGGGTCCGGCCCATGGGACTGACATCTGAGCCAGCCAACTGAGGTCCGGCAGCACCCACTGCCCTGATTCCCCAGGGGTGGCCCAGGCCAGCTGACCTGGTGGCACCGGACGCTGTGGTCTAATCTGGAAAGGCCTGTGTGTTAAAGGCTGGTCCCCGGCCTGTGCAGTACTGGGGGGCGGAGCTCCTGGGAGGCGGGGCCTGGGGCAAGGCCGTCAGGTCGCTGGGCACGCCCCAGCCTGGGACACCAGGGCCCTAATCCAGGACACCAGGGCCCCAGCCAGTTCTGCTCTTGCCGGGCTTCCAGCTGCCATGAGGAGAACAGGACCGTCTACCACGTGCCCCTGGCAAGATGTGCTGTGCCCCACAGGCCCGGAGCAACGGTGCCAAGCAGCCACTGACCAAAGCTATGAGCCAAACACCTCTTTTGTCTTTTAAGTTGACCACTTACAGGTATTTTGTCACAGCGGAAGAGCTGACTAACACCTGGGAACTTGCTCGAAATACAGATTTTCAGGCCCCCATCATGGACTACCAAACCAGAAGCACTGGGGGTGAGGCCCGCCAGGACGCCAAGGTCCTCCCACACAGGGAAACCACGGTCTGGCTCAATCTTCCCAACTCCAATAGCTTCTTGCAGGTTCTGAAGTCCAGAACCACAGTGTCCTACATGGTCACCACACATGGTGGCTTAAATTTAAATTAGTTGAAACTTAAATACCATTAAAACTTTGGTTCCTCAGTCACACTGTCACGCTTCAGATAGGAACACTCCAGCCACAACAGAATCCAGTGACCGTGGCTCTGCGACGACAGAGCGGCAGCAAGTTCTGTGGCTGGAGCTTCAGGGGCCTCCTACACAGACAGAGGCAGGCAGGGAAGCCTCTCCCGTGCGCTGCTTCCAGCCCCTCCATCTGGTGTTTCTCTTGTTTGTGTTTGGTTTGCGGGGAGCTGGGGATGGAGCCCAGGGCCTCGGCACTCAGGGAGGCCCTCTCCACAGGGCCTCGCCCCAGCCCAGAACAATTACACTGCCCACCACCTGAAATCGCCTTTCCTTCAATGACCAGGTTACATAAGAGTGTCCAGGTGAGGGTGTGGAGACAGGAGACAGACTCAGATACAGGGAAGTAAAGTGGTTTTTTGTTTGTTTGTTTGTTTTGTTTTGTTTTGTTTTTTGGTATGCTGTGAAGGGACCCAGGGCCTCACTCATGTTAAGCAGGCGCTACCACCGGGTCCCATCCTGGTGGGTCCCATCCCAGCTCCTTCCCTACTTCTTTTTTTTTTGGGGGGGGGTACCGGAGATTGAACTCAGGGGCACTCGCCACTGAGCCACATCCCCAGCCCTATTTTGTATTTCATTTAGAGACAGGGTCTCACTGAGTTGCTTAGGGCCTTGCTTTTGCTGAGGCTGGCTTTGAACTTGCAATCCTCCTGCCTCAGCCTCCGGAGCCGCTGGGATTACAGGCCTGTGCCACTGCACCCAGCTCGTTCCTCTACTTCTGGTGGAATTACACCCCAATATGAGGTTGAAATGTCGTAAGCTATGGATGCACTGAATGCCCCCAACCCACCGAACGTCGTCCTCTGCCTCGCTGCCAAAATCCTGCCAGAACTACCCCCCCACACACACGCCTGCAGTTGAGAAGAACCGTCCACTGCACACCTATTTAATCAAAAGGCATCGACTAGTTCAGGTGGTTTATTGACTATGGTACTGAGGGTCAAGGTCAGCACAGCTGTACTAGCAGGTGACACAGGGTTTCTACTGCATGTGTTCTCTTTCTCCCAGCGTCATAAAGTTGAAAAAACATAAGTCCGTGCTGGGGGGTCACTCAGGAGCAAAGCCCCACCAGAAAAGAAAAGAAAAGGGATACACACACGTAGGTGCATATAAAAAGAGTTTTTTAGGGGCTGGGGTGGGGCTCAGTGAAAGTGCTTCCTTGTATGTGTGAGGCCCTGGGTTCCATCCCCAGCACCACAGAAAAATAAATAAATAAAGATCCTGTGTGTTCATCTAATAAATAGGAACAAAAAGTCTTTGAGAAAAATCTGGCCAATGAGGGGGGTCAGAGACTTTCCTTCTCTGTGCCTGAGTTTCCCCCTCTGTCAAATCCAATTAATAATGGTCCTCTGTGGGGCTGCTCTAAGATGTGACAAGTTCACATCAGCAAGGTCTCAATACCGAGTCTGGCTCCATGCTCCTGGGATCTGCTAAAACTATTATTAATTCCACCTGTTCTCCACCAGGGGCCTCCTGTCTGGATAAATATGTGCTTTTTTTGTTTGGTACTAGGGATTAAACCCAAGGACACTTCATCACAGGACTACATCCTCAGTCCTTCCTATTTTTAGAGACAGGGTCTTTGCTGAGGGTCTTGCTAAGCTGGTCTGGAACTTGAGATCATCCTGCCTCAGCCTTTGCCTCCCTAGTCACGGGGATTAAGGCATGTGCCACCACGCCCTGATGGAGATATTTTTTTTTTTAAATATTTATTTTTTAGTTTTCGGCGGACACAACATCTTTGTTTGTATGTGGTGCTGAGGATCGAACCCGGGCCGCACGCATGCCAGGCGAGCGCGCTACCGCTTGAGCCACATCCCCAGCCCATGGAGATATTTTTGACTGTCAGAACTGGAACAGGCCTGGGCAGGGGGGCACACGCCTGTCATCCCAGTGGCTTGGGAGGCTGAGGCAGGAGGATCAAGTTCAAAGCCAGCCTCAGCAAAAGCAAAGTGCTAAGTGAGACTTTATCTCTAAATGAAATA